CCACTCAACACGTCTACGTGTCCGACACCCCAACATCACTCAACCCGTGGGGTTTCAGTATGCAGCTATCCTCACTCAACACGTCTAGGTGTCCGGCAATCTCCATCACAAATCACCTGTGAGGTTCAGTATGTAGCTATCCCCACTCAACACGTCTACGTGTCCGACACCCCAACATCACTCAACCCGTGGGGTTTCAGTATGCAGCTATCCTCACTCAACACGTCTATGTGTCCGGCAATCTCATACTTCATTACTCAACCTGTGAGGTTTCCGTAAATAGCTATCCTCACTCCACGCATCCATGCGTCACGCGTCTTTGGTAGCGCATACTATGGGGGCTATATTTGGGGTGGCGTGTTTTACAGCGCTTTGCCAACAGCGCCACCAGACTTGTGTCTAGCGCCGCCAGGGGGGTCGAAGGGGGGGTGTTGAAGGCGTTGCAGCGAGTCACCAACTTTTGTTCTCATGTCGTGTTTGATTTAAGTGGTGCTATTGCATTGCAATTCATCTCCGGGAGTGTTTTCTCTTTTTGTTTTTTAACACAACCGAATTCATCACTATACTCTATCCACAAGTTGCTGTTGTCTTCACAAAACAGAGTGTTCCAATCTCTATACCAAGCTCTCTCATCTGTCCGTTCTAGTCAATAGTCCAGGATAAATTGACAATGGGTGTAGAAACCAATGTCGAGATGTGGAGGCCACCTTCATAATGGTCCAATCTCCCCAACGTCTGTCACAGACGATTCCCTCTTTCACGTAAATACCTTCTTTTTTTTTCTTTACCCTTATGGCGATCTGTTTCTGTACTGACGCTGCAGCCGATCTCCGGGGGCCCGGTGGAGCAGTACATCAGTCTCCTGGAGGACAGGGTTACCTCGGCGGCGGCAAGGATGGAAGAGATGAGGCAGGACCACGCCGCTGAGATCGAAGAGCTAGAGGCTGAGTTCGAGGTGTGTGTGGCCATGAAGACAAAGAGTCTCACGATCAGCTGTAATGCTGAGGTTGAGAGTGCTAGAGGCTTACTTTGAGGTATGCACATCAGTATAGTGGTCTCGATGTATCGAGGTGTAATGCGCGTAGCGCAGTGCATGGTAGCGCTTTTCAACCCGTCGTCTCCCCACCCCACTCCTATTCGCCGCCCTCGTTTTTTTTTTGGCAGAGCTTTCTGTCGGAGAACGGTCTTGACGGCGAAGGCGAAGGCGGGGACGTTGGGAAACCATTCCCTGCTGCCGCGGACGATGGCGCTACCGCCGCCATTGTCGAACGCCTGCGCGAAGAGGTGAGGAGAAGGTTAACTGGCGGTGCTCTTGCCCGATGGTGCTCTTGCCCTATGACGGCTGAAGACGAGGAAATTCACCTCTTTGTCTGCTTTTCGTTTTGAACGACCATGTGTGTATTGCTTTGTGGCCTGAACAGCCTGCCTTCTTTCCTTCTTTTCCTAGTTTTTTTGTCATCAACTGCCCCGTGGGTTGTGTTTTTAGCGCCATTCTTGCTGCATACACTGTATAGCCACTATTTGTATGACTCTTGCTTGATGTGATTCTAGGTGGACTTGAGAGGAATTTTTGTCCGCCCAGGTTTAGTTGTCATTGTCGACAACATCTCGTGTGACAAGTCTCGGTTGTTGTTGCTGCTTGTTCGCCCGGCGTTCAACCGCGCCCCGCCACACAGGTGCGAGTGGCCAACCTACAGGCCGACCAGTGGAAGAAGGAGGCGGAGACTCTCCGCGACAGGCTGCACAAGGACAAGGAGCCCGGCGGCTCGACGAGGTCTCCGCTCCGACAATCGACGGGATCCACCGGTCGCACGTCGCTGGAGAATCGACAGGTAAAGTAGTGATACTTCTCGTTCGTGATTTTTTTTTTTTTTGCAAATGTAGGAATGCATATTTATCTCTTCCACAGATGAGATGAGAGTCGGTGATAAATTAGCGACGTCGTTTTCGCTTGTCCATGGATTTTGTGAAGCCCCTGTGAAACCGGTGTGGTTTGTTTCTTTCGGGTCTTTCGGGGGTGCTCGCTGGTGCTACATGTGTGTCACAAGTGCGACCTGTCTTGGCGGGGAGTTTTTCCGTTCTGGATCTCATTGATGAGCACCGCTCGAGGACGGTGGAAATGGCAATCGCAGCCCGCAGTGTGTCATTCGCTCGTTGAAGGAATGTGCTTCGAAGTATACAAACACTCAACGGCGATTGAACGGCGATTGGGCAAGTAGAGGTTCAAGGAATCACTCCAGTCAAAGAAACCCTACATTTGCTTTGATTATTTTTCTCGTTCTCGTTCTCGTTTGCGTTAGGACGGAGAGAACAGCCCTCCGACGGTGCACAGCAACGGCGGCCCTGCCCCGGGGGGTGTCGGATCCCCCTCGAAAAACATTCCGCGGAACCCCGTTGCCTCCTCGCCCAACAAGAACAAGGCCTCCGCGCTCCCCACCAAGAAGAAAAAGAAGGCTTCGAACTCCGGGTACCCTCCCATCGCCGCCACCGCCGCCGCCGTCGCAACCGCTGCTGGTTCGCCTCAACCGAACCCGTTGGGCGGGAAGCAGGCGCGGAAGGTGGCCGATTCCGCCAGCAGCAGCGCCAGGGAGAGCGGGGCTTCGGGCGAGAAGACGGGGGGGGCGGAGGGGACCCGCGTTCACCGGGAGTCGAGGGAGAGCGGCGGGTGCTGGGGGAGCAAGGGGAAGGTGGTCGTGGCGGTCTCGAGGCGTGTGTCGGTGCTGCGCGTTAGCACCGCCGGGAGCAGGAGGTGAGGAGAGCCTTGGGCCTAGGGAGTAGTCGATGGGCTGGTGTTCGGATAAGTCAAGCTGGGGTTGACCTGGAGTTGGCGTATTTGGTGCATGCTGGGGGTTGAGGTCATGCTTTCCGAAGGTCAGCGCTTTTGATGCAAGGACTGATGCGTGTTTCTGTTTTTGACACGTCCGACAAAGTCGATCAGTACCTACGATTCGTGTTGACACGCACGCACACAAAGAGAGGCGGATCGTCACAGCAGCGACGTCTGACCCTCGCCCCCCTCCCCCCCCTTGTTTTTTGACGTAGCGTTGTTGTTGTTGTTGTTGTTGTTGTTGTCTTCACATTAAACCGTATGTCAGTTGCTAAATGCCAAAATCTAGCAAAAGACTCTCAGCCCGTGGTCACGAAAGTGCTAGAGCCATCTGAGGATCTAAAGAACACGCACACATATAACGAGAAAAAGGTATCCATGAGCCCGAAGAGGTACACCTAATAATCCCTGCAGCACCGTATGCGTGCCCACAAACTGAACTGCACGTCCGTTCCACCGTTCGACTACAGTAGCATCACCCCCTCCCTGTCCCACTCTATACCAAAACGGAAGATTGCCGACTACAGCATAGGTCGGTGAAAATCTAGCTTCGTAGAAACTCGATGTTCATCAGTGCACGCCCCCCTCCTAAGCTTCGTCCACTCGAGGACGGCGTGGTCAATGGTCTAACAAATGCAGTATTTTAGGCATAGTTGAGCACGCTCCCCACACGAACATGGATCAGTACGACTTCGGCTTACACGGCAGTAGCAGAAGACTCAAACGGAGAGAGGCACATAGCAGTCACGTCTCAATGGTCTATCAACGAAGGCATCAACCACGTGAGCATGCCCCTCTTGCGAATACAACAATAATGCCTGGCGTTCCGTTCAAACCCTTCCGCGGCAGGGTGTCCTCCGTGCGCGCGTCTTTCGCCAACGGCCGTAGGGCTTCCCGCGCGTCGTACGCCGCCGGTAGCCGCCGCGTGTCCCAGCTCGCGCGCTCGCGGACTAGCGTTGCCGCCGGCGCTGGACACACCTCCGGCGAACCATCGTCATCGGGGGACTTGGGGACTTCCCCCGTCAAGGAGGGCGAGGAGATGGAGGAGGGATTGCGCCAGGTGGACGGGCCGGCGTCGAGACGGGAGAGCGCCATGCTCCTGGTGAGGCAGGCAGGCTTGTGTGTTTGTTGTTGGGTACATCGTAGAAGTCGAAATCGAGCGGGGACCCCACGACTAGCGTTGACCTTAACAGAGGCCGAATCGAACCATTGGACTGGGACTGGACATCGTCAGCGGTGGTTGTGGTTGTGGCCCTTAGAAGCTGCAATCAAGTTTGGACCGCAAGACCAACATGAGTAGAAGCCAAATCGAACCATTTGTTGTCAGCAACTGACTTGTCTGATGGTGTATGTAGTTCCAGCTCCTGTATGGTCTTGGAAGGAAAATGCGTTCGTAGATGTTTCTCGTTATTTCTGCGGAAAGGCGTTCAGGCGATATGGAGTGTTTTGGGGAACTTTGACACTGACACATGATACATGGTTGACAGATACCCAATTTTTTACCTTCAAGTCCATCGAGTAAGCTGAAAAAGGCGCTGCCTCATACAACAATGATCACGTAGCTTGTCGTCATTGTGTGTTGATGTGTGGGTGTATACCTTGCCTTTGTTCGTCCAGGCGGCCCAACAGGAAGAAAACTTCTTCGAGAAGGCCCGCCGCTGCGTTCTTCGCGCGATCGGCGTTAGCAGGAAGAGCGGTCAGGGCGAGGGGGGTAGCTTCTCCGGGCCTGGGTCGATGCGCGGCGGAACCAGCCCCGTCGTAGCCGAAACAGCGGCGGAAATCGCCCTCAGGCACAAGATTAAGGTCAGTCGAACCACACGGGGTTCGTCACGCTGTTGTTGTTGGAGGTTGCCAGTGATGGCGCAACGGGTGTGGTCGATGGTGATAAGGCACGCACAGAGTTAAGGCCAGTCCAATACACACGGGATTGCTGTTGTTGTTAGAGGTGGTGGTGAATTAATTGTGTCAATACGTCGCGCTCGGGTGTGTGCAAGGTTTATTGAACGCGCGAACGCGTGCAGTTGGCATTGTTGTTGGAGGTCGATACGATGTGCGCCGTGTTGCGCCCCGCCCGGGTCAAGATGACCATCTGGCTGTGTGCCTCAATTCAGGCATTGTTGCTGTACCCTGTTGGGGGGTGTTCCCTGAAATCAATCCCGATTTGAAGACGACCACGTTGGACCCAAAAGAGTCTGCACACGAGCCGTTTTTTTTTCTTTTTGCTGGGATCCCTCGTCAGCAACAACAGGACTGTCACAGGACTGTCACCACAACAATCGCCACGATCACGTCTTGGCTTTACGAAATCATGCTACAGAGGGGGTCCGTGTATAGTGCCGGTTGAAAAGTGCAAATGCCCGGTATAGTGCCGGTGTTTTCGGCGGGCACACACTGAATTTCCAAGTCACTGTCAGAACTTGGAATAGTGCCGGTCCGGTATAAGCGTCGGTGAGTATTCTGGGCACATGCCGGTGCTAAGCAGGGACCCTGCTGTACTGGTCATACTAGTGAAAAGCGTAGCCTGGACCTTGTACGAATATCGGCTTATGCGCCGTCCCGGCAGCATTGCAGGGATGCGAGATCTATGGTCTAGCGACTACGGCATGACTTTTTAAAAGTATTCCTCACCTTGCGCGCGGTATTTGTTCGCTTCCCACGATGGCTTGTCGGTGGTGGCCCCGATACAAGAGGGTGGTGTTACAAGGCCCTCGACCCTCTTCCATCGGAGCCCCCTCTTTTTACGGGACGAGAGGATACCTAACTTATGCCATAGCGGGGTCGAGTGCGAGACAACCAATTTCGACCCTTTTATATCGGAGACATAACTGTTCTAAACCCTTCGTCGCCGCTACTGCCTTTACCGCTGCCCTCCTTGTCCTATCAATAGGTCAAGATGCCCAAGCGCCCCGGCAAGAAGGCGATGGACCGTGCCAGCGTGGACGACCACCCGTGGGACGTGGAGCAGCAGCAGGGATCCGATCCGTTCGATGAGTCGGAAGGCGTTATCGAGAAGGCTGATGATGAATCGGGGGGTTATCCGAACAGGGTGAGTGAGGGGGGGGGG